AAAAAAAAAAAAAAGCTGGAAAAAATATTCTGCTGAAAATTATCGTTTAATCTTAAAAAAAATTAGTTCTAATAAATCCAGGAAAAGTAATATTGATAAATTTTTTGACAACTTTTTTTCGTAAACAAACCTGCAGCCAAACCTGTCTTTAGTCACTTAATTAATTACAAGAATATTTCTTATGTGAGTTTTTGAAGATATCTAAGCATTTTTTGACAATTATCGAGGAACTATCTCTAACATCTTTGAGTTTCGTTTATTATTTTCAAGCAAGCGTAAAGTTTTGGACATTGCGTTATCCACATCAGAAAATAGAAGCACATCAAAACACTTTCAAATCATGTATCCTCATCATTGTTGAATATTTCTATTACAAGAGAGAGTTTTACTAATTTTGCGCCTTACACTTTCTGTGCTAAGTTCAAGCTGAAGGTGCGGTACAATTATTTTGCAGATTTTCTGTTTTCATATAGCGATTTGTCTCATAAGTTTCGTATTAACGGCAAATAACATCTATCCATAAGTTAATCGTCAAATAGCATTGCTAAATACTTTTCTACAATTGTTTACCAAATTGTTTATGATGCCCTACGCTGCCACAACACCATTAGTGATTACAATAAAATTTTTTATCTGAATTTATTATTTCAAGCCATTAGACTCAAGTACACGCTGAAGCCTCATCATAACAATCTTGTTTCGTTCGCTTACTATGGGGTAATATTTCTTGCTTCTTTAACGATAACAATTTTTGTGCTCTGTTCGGCAATGCTGACGTCTTGACGAAGGGTTACGAAATGTTACTTCTTTACTTTCGTTTAAATTACAACGTTTTAATGGTGTTCCCGTATAGTAATTTTTGCTTGAATTGTTAACAGAGAAGAACGAATCCCTGCTGGCGTCGAATATCTTCTTGCTTTTTGCTACTTTTTACAATGCCAAAAAAAGGTTCTTGCTTACTTGACAATTACTCTCCTTACTGGCTTTTATTTCAATAGATTATTGTAGCAGAACATATTAGGAAATACCTTGATGACAATTGCTGTGCAGTTCATTATTGAAGCAGAACCGTAATTTTCTGTAATTTTCCGGCAACGTTTTCGTACGTACTATTAAAAGATTAAAAAAGTGCCCAAGTCAAAAGAAACAGAAAAAATAAAGGTTATTTAAAGTTTCTGATTGGGAAGAGAAATTTAAAGGTAAATTTAGACGTTTAGGTTTAAATACCATGTAAGGTGCTGAAGAACTGAAGTACAGAAATTCCAAGTCAGAAAACTTGGCTAATTTTATACTGCACACTCTCTTCACGTCTTCTTCTAAAACTTTGTCTTTGAATATATACTTCAGTTCATCGTACGATGACAGCTAAGCATGTGAAGTACAATGGCGTTAGTGACGATGGAAAAAACGACATCCTATTCTTTGCCACTTTACTGATGTTAGCGTATTGTCAAACAGAATAAATGGTTGCAGTTTGCCTTTTCAGGGTTTCTTTCTACACTTGCTATTGTAAGAAATTCATTTGAAAGGAAGAAATAGATTAAAATCTGAGACGTGACAATTTAGGCTTTTAAATCCTCAAAAAAATTCTCATATTCATTCTCATATACACATTGTGGTTGTCATTCTTCAATTTTTTTTCGAAGTAAAGGGGCACTGTCGCACGATCACTGAGTTATACAGCAACTTTGAGACACTGTCTACTTACAGCATAGATATTTTAACATCTACAAAGTTTAAACTTCCATCTCTTCTTTTAAACGAAAAAAACATTTGTTGCTTTTTCATAGAAAAGACAATTATCTGTCAAATGCTGTATATCTTCGTCCGAAAATAATGTCTGAAGCTAAACCGGTCTATTATTATCTTGCTAGAAGTGTGGATGAAAAGAAAATTACATCCTAAACATTGTTAACGCGCGTTTTGGGCTAAGCACTGTGTAGTACAACTGTTTAAGTTTCAATTGTTCAAGCTTTTCATTTTATGCTTAATTGTTCTGCTTTGTTCCAGAATTTTTAGTACAGTTTTCATTTTTTTGGCAGTCTTGAATAAAGCTCATTAGAAGTTGTTTTTGATATTTGCATTTGTTGTCTTAAGAAGGGTATCGTATACAAGCAACAGTCCACTTTCCAGGTAATAAGTGTTGTAATTTAACTTTCAAAATTTGATGCCCACTTAAATTATATATAAAATCAAAGGTTCCATGCTTCTGGCTTACCACCGTCTTTATTGTCAGATCGCATGCTGTCTTTTTTTTGGCTTTGCATAGTGTCATAACATAAAGTACAGTAGCGGTGTCAACATCATGTGCGCTTTCGTATCTTGCTATTACTTCTGCATGACTAAAGTTATGCGATAAAATAAGCAAGAGAAAAAGCATGTCATCAAATGAACTTCTTCTCTATTTTTATAAAATATAGGCACTTTTGGTGCTGTAACTCTACAGTTTGAAAAATTTAATATTTTTTCTTTATCGGTTTGTCGATTTCTCGCTGAACAATCTGTTCTGCTTAAAATTTTAGAATTTTGGTTTTATTCTCTTTTGAGTTACTGAAAATATTTGAAAATTTATGTTAATAAACTTTATTTGAGTTTATTGTTTTGTTTAACACATATTCAAAGTTTGCTTTTTAACAACTTCTTGGGTAAGGAAACAAATCCTACTGATCAACTGTCAAAAAACAAGTCGGATTATGTAGCCATATGCAACCAGGAACGAGAGCTTCTATGACAGTTTAGGTTTCAGCAGGTTACAGTTGTTATCATCTATTTCTTTTGAACAAAATTTTACTGCCGAATCGTTTTATGCGACTTCCTGTAAAATTAAATCCTATAAAGTGAGCGTTTTCTGAAAGCTGCATTCAGTTGCAAACTTGCTTGAAAACCACTGTTATAATTTCTGCCGTTTTGAAACATAAAGGCACTTGACTTGGACCAATCCAATAAGCTATTCCGTCGTATTTTGAAGCTTTTTGGAACTCTTCTACTCAGATTCATGTCCGCTAACATGTACCTGTTAACAGTTATTCTTTACTGTAAAAATGGGGAGAAGAGAACGCACTAACTTGGCTTTGCGGCCACT